TTGCCTCATTTCAGGTCTTTACCCCAGTGGGACAGGGAGAAGGGTCAATGATAAGGGAAATGGGGAGAGAAGAAACCAAAGAAATGGACCAGTGCTTTGTAGCCAATAGGAGAAAGTGTCAGAGAGCAGTGAATCTAGGTAGAAGTGCTGAATCATTAGATACTTGATAAATCAATGGTAGAAGAATTTGTCTCCAGAGGAACAGAACAGAAAGCAACAGGGGCATTAGTTCAAAACGCAACTAATGTAATGTAAATCTCAGGAAGTAGCTACCATGAGTGGCTTAAGCCGGTAAGGATTTTGTTAGTGATACCTTTTATTAGATCAACTATATAGCTGAGGGGATATAGACAAGCTGAGAGAAAAAGCAGGTACAGCCTAAGGTATACACCAGATAGAATAAATACTTGAGCAAAACTCCATTGTAAATAAAAACAGTATATAAGAGACATCAGGCAGTTAACAGGCAAGATAAATGCACTAGAAAAGATAACCTTGTAAGTGGAACTAATTAGTCTCTAACAGTGCCTTTACACGTGCTGGGAGTGGAGAGTGGTGTTTTAATTAGAGCAGTTCTCAGTAACCACTCTAATTAAAATGCCTGCAGTGTCTTGTGTATTCAGTGTCCTGCACTTCAAAATGACACCATGGCTGCTCCAACTAAAGCACATTAAACAAGCTTTAATTAAAGCACCCCGCCACCATTTTGAAATATGGGGACGCTGAGTACACATGACACCAAGGCTGCTGAAGCGTTCTAATTAGAGTGCACTGGAGCAGGCATCGGACATATGTATAGGTGCCCTAAGGTGCCAACCTGCCATGCATTTTACCTGGTAAGTAGAAGATCAAGATGATTTAAAAGGGGTCATTATCACCTGTGGATTCCAGAGATTAGGTAGACTATAATGGACCATGAACTCCATGTCTGTGTTAAGCCTATGGTCCTTAACATCCAGACATGGTTGTTGTTTTTTAAAATATTTTGCAGTTTCCTCCAACCCAAGAATTGAGGTTAGAAAGGGAGTGGCTTTTTTTTTTTAAATGAAAAATCATCTACCTCTGCTCTGGCTTCTCTGTCTTTTTAGCTTTCTTTCTGTGATCATTCATTCTGGTGGGTAGCTTGTGTAGTTTCAGCAACATCGGTTCTGTGAGAGTACTTGGTGCACTGGATGGAGGTATACTATATTGTGAGAGAGACTTGTAGGATCTGTGGGCTATGATGGTTTCCTTGTGGGAGATTTTGATAGTTGTGACATTTAGAGATAAATTGATAAGTTTTTTGTAAAGGCAGGACTCACTAGGTGCCTGTGGAGGCAGCTAATGCCCTTGGCAAGGTTAGAGTACTGTCTGGAAGCCAGGAACAGGTGTGGGGAGGGAGAGTAGGGGGCCTAGGAATATTTTTCTCAAGATTTAATCCCTTTTGTGAGTTTAAGAATGGAGTGGAAGGTGATAACCAAAGGTGTCTAGTGAGTGGGGGAAGAAGAAGAGCAGGGTTCTTGTGGTAGGTTCATTGGCAAATACATAGTAAGTAGAGAGGACAGATTTTAGAAAGGGGGAGTACTGGCATCAGGTTGGTGTGCACTCTTCATTAAGGAAACAAACAAGCAAAAAGTTTTAAAAAAGGGGGGAAAGCAAATAGGCTGTGATCAGCATAAATTGGAAGTTATGCATGATAGGAACTTAAGGTAAACTCAGGACACCAAAGAAAAAAATGTGTCGGGCAGATAATAAAATGAGCTACAGAACCTCTCAGATTTTGGATGTGGCTAGAGGTCTGAGTTTTATCTACACAGAAATAAACGTTTGAGATGATCGTTGTGATCTATTTGTAGTCTACTCCAAAAAAAATTAAGGCTGCAGCAATTCATGCTTAAAGATTGTTGAGATTTATCTTCAGATTGCATTACTCTTATTAGAAACACGTTAGTCATATGGAACCAGTACAAATTAAAGTTTACCCTATTAATTTTACTAGCCTCCTTTTCAAATATTTAAATTTCAGAAGTTTGTGGGCGTGCCATGTGGTTCCTAATGCATACTTTTACTAAGCGGTACTGTAGGACTACTCTTTGTAGATATGTCTTTGTAAAATCAGTACTTCAGTCAGTAATTGCACAAGAGACTCTTGTGATTGAAGGAGGTAGAGCACTTGCAGTGCTGTTCTTGGGCTTTCAGTGGTGCACAAGAACCCAGCATACAAAGCAGTATGTCATAGCCTCTCTCCCAATTCGCTCTTTCAGGACTCTGGTGTTTGAGAAGTCAGGAGGGAGCAGATGGCAGCTGCTCCATCTGCCCCTGTTCCTTCTCCAGACTGGAGTGACCCTGGTTTCTGGAAGGCACAGGAACATTTCCTTCTAGTTCCATTCCTCCTCCTCCTTCCCCTGGAGGAGTTAAGCAGCAGGGAAGTGTGCAGACATCCGTTCTCCTAATGGAAGCTCTTCCAGGAGCAACCTCTGCCTCTTTAGAATAGGGTTATTGTTCTCTCAGAATGACCATTATTGCTTCTGGGAGGAAAACCTGGAATGTACACTTGTGATGTCTACTGGGAGAGCAGCTATTCTTTTGGTAGAAATGGAATGTCTGTACATGGCCACAGAGACTACCACTCAAAAAAGAAAAGGGCTATTTGTACTGGCTATTTTACTATCTTTCCAATGGCGTTGATGGATAAATAGGCATTGTTGGCTGCTTCCTTCAGAGCAGTAAATTAAATGCAGGTGAGAAGCAAACAAATGTTGTGCCTAATTTTTTATTTCTCATAGTATGGCTCCACTGATCTCAGCATATGTTCCCCTTGAGCACTTCTGTAGAATGAATTTTTCTTTCTTATGTTCACGTGTCACAAACTTTCATGCAAAACTAAAATGCTTTTTATTTATTTGTTTTGTATATTGTTTTTGTTCACTTTAATTCTTTTAGCTTGTCTTTCTTCAGTTCTGGAAATTATCATCTCAGTAGTCTGTGGTTAGTAAAACAAACATGCCAGTAGGAGGAACTTGTAGTTTCAAAAGAAGTGAAATTTGGTCCAAATATGCAGAATAATTGTGATGCACAAAGAGATTCAACAAAACTTGATTAACTGTTAACATATTGATAAAATTATAGGCCCTGCTCTTCACCTGGCTTTATTTAAAGGCTTTTCCAATAGTTTCAGTGTAGGATTTGGCAGTGCACTGACTGTTGTAAGGAGGGTGTTTGAGCTCTGAACAGAAATTTATTTAAGTTACCAATTTGGTCACGATTATCCATAGGCTCCCCCTTCTCCTCTGCTTCCAGACCTTTCTCTTATTCCTGTAGAACCAGTATGTTTTTCAAATACCTTCATTACATTTCCCCCCCTAAGTTTTTTAGAAAGTAATTTGCCATATTCTTAGAACATACTTTTTTGGGCGACAGTTTTTATTAAAATAAAGTATAAACTACTGGACCAATTGTTTATGGCTTGTCAAGAATCAAATTTTTGATGCAACAGCCTGTATGTGTTTTTTACCAACCACTGGTAAAGCATATATTGGTTTTTACCAATAAATGCACCATTTATTTCCCCATTGTAGAATAATAATAAATAAAAAAGATTGTTTTGCCAAATAAGCAGAATGGGTTCGTAGCAGGTGCCAACAACCTTTTTAGGCTGCAGGCTGGAACAACCTGACTCTAGTCTGATGCAAGCCACTGCATTTGGTGTCGTGTCAGCAGGGAAGGGTTTTTTACTTGCACCCATGCTGGGGCCAGGCAGTTGGGAGTTGTTCCCATACCACTGCCCTTTTTCCTAGCCACCCCATTTCCCCACTCCCCACCGGCTCCTTGGGTGCGGTGTGAGCTCAGCTTTTAACTGAAGGGGAGCTGTGCTGAGTCCAGGAGGTTGGGAACTGTGCCCATGTTGCTGTCTCTGCTTCTTCCCCTGACCACCCTCACCCTTCCAGGTGTAGCATGGTTACAACTGGAGGCATTCTGGTTCTGGCTCAGCTCCCCACAGGCTGGGAGATGTCTGTACTGCAGCTGGAGAGCAGGGAGTGGGGAGAAGCAGTGACAGTGTAATCGCAGCTTCCAGCTGCCAGCCCCAGCACAGGTCCTCCTTGCTGCCCAGCCCCTACATCGGCACAAGCAAAGCCTTCTGGCTCCTTTGGCCAGATCCAGTGGCTCCACAGGCTGCATGTTGTCATCCTATGGTCTATAGCAGGGGTGTCAAAGATGCAGCCCACAGGCCAAATCTAGGCCATGGATCCACATCATCCGGCCCCCAGTGCTGGTCCTGGGTCTTAAGGTGACCTACAAATCACACATAATAGGTGCCAGGCCATCCCTGTATGCAGAGCACCAACTCTTAAGACCCATGTTGTATGCAGCACCCATATGGGCCAGTCCAGGACTACCACCTCCATGTTGGATTCAATGCCTGCAGCACCTGCTCTGGCCAGTTCAGCACTGCAGTGTACATGGACCCACTCGAGCTAGACAAGTGCTGAGTGTGGCGCATAGGGGGTGGCGGGGGTCTGTGCATTCCACCATTTGCTGGATCCAGCACCTGCCTTGGCTGATCTGGGACCTGTGCCTGACTGGGGTGGCTACCATGTGCAGCTCGTGTCCTGGACTGGTTGGAGTGGGTGTTGGATCTGGCACACATGTGGCAAGAGAGGGTTGCCGTCAGCCCATTCTATCTCACGGGGTCAGCTCTGTACCATTCATCCTGTCTGTGAACTGATCCTGCGCCACTCATTTGTGAGCCTGATAAATTTGATATCCTTGGTCTATAGAATATTAAAACAAATCCTTAGTTAAAAATAAGGATGCATCCTAAATATTTTGTTGTTTGTTTCATCTATGACTTCTAGAAAATACGAGTTCTTTTAATGTAAAACTTAATTAAGAAAAGGTGGTTAAATATGGGTGAATGAATTAAAACTTAAGGTTGAGATAGTTAGGGATTGGTTATGACCATATTTTGAAGAACTGTCTAGTGATATGTTGTATACATTTAATGCTTTTCATTTCTGCAGGTGGCATTGCTTGGCTTAGATGTTTTAGGTGCCTTTGTCGACAGACTATCAGGACGCTTTAAATCCTATATAGGAACTGGTGAGTGAAGTAAAATTTAATGCCTCTTCTGAGAAAAATGTGGGTAGTCAGTCTCTTATTTTCTAGCAATTGTTTTTATTATTGCAGCCATGTTTGATTAAAAAGTGAACACTTTCTGAACCATAGCTCTAATCAAGGACATATACAGCTGTTATCATACACTTGTATCAGCAAACTCAAGTCCAACATGTCTCATTGGGGGTTGACATAGTTTCACACTTATTCATAAATGTAATTGTGTTCTGTACTTTGTTGTTTTAAGATACCTACTATAACTTTTTGCATATCTCCCTCAATCAAAATAAGGCTTGCACCTTGTTTTTAGAAGGCAGAATATAGGAAAAGATTTTTTCCAGAGTCAGTTCAGCCAAAAGCAACTGTCAATTGAGCAGTGGCTGCCAGAGGGTTAACCCTGAACTCTCCACTCCCTCTTTCTGCTTGCTGGCCTTGAGAAATGCAGCAGCCCTTATAGCACAGCATCTCCATACTTCTCTTCTAACCAAGAAAAATCAGCATTCCTGCTTATGATGCATACCCCAGTTTTGGAGGGCTGATGTTTGGTGAAAAGGTGAATGTGACTTGTGTTGATTAGTCAAATTTTCAAAAATGTTTTTTTCTGTAAATGGTTCCAAGCTACAGAATTTCTCACTGTTCTCCACAACAATATTATTTAAAAATAACTTAACCATATCGTAGCGTTACTTCTGAAGTTATATTAATAAGCCACGATTTTTAAGATGGCAGTTTTCAGTTGTACAGCATCTTAATCGGGACCCCTTGTATACAGTGCTTCTGGTAACAAGTCATATGAAAAAATTCACTTCTTTCCACAAAATTTATTTAGGATTTAAGCTATCATTAAACAAAATCCTTGTCCTTACTGTTGCAAAGGAATACTTCAGAAATGAACTGACTGCAGATGGATGCAGTGACTTCTTCCTGAGTTTGCCAACAACTTGAAACATTGCTCTAAGAAGTATGAACTGGCTTTCCCAATTAGCTGATAGATTTGCTGACTTAAAATGACCAGAAGTAAAACACTGATAGTGGAAACTAATTTTGGACTTTATCAGGAACCTCCAGCTTAATGTCTTTATCCTGTAATGTACCTAAAAAATCTTACAATTCATTGCGCACCCAATACCTGCAGTTATCCAAAATATGATAGCCAAAACCTTTCTTTCAGTACTTTTTCTTTTTCTTTTTTTGAAAGTCTGTAGTACATTGAACGTTTAGAAATATTAAATGAACTGCTACAAGGATTTCTGGACAACTAATTTGATGTATATAATATATATTTATATTTATATAATATAATATACATTTCTGCACTTGCTCTGGAACTTAGGCCAGTTTTGTAGAGTTTTTGGCTTTTTAATTTTGGATAATGAGAGACCACAGAAATGTATTGGGACCTCATTGCGCTGTGCAAGGTATTAACTTTGAGTAGTTTCCTTACCAGTTGGTGCGGAGCTTCGGATTCTTTTTTTTTTTTTTTGGTAAAATTGTTCTTGTGTAATAAAGAGGTATTCTGACTTCTGCTTTGCCCAGTTGACTATAGCTGCAGGATCGCAGTATATTAGCTGCCCTACCATTATATAAGTACTCTGTGTTTTATCTTGCTGTAAGAAAACTATTTCTTGTAACTTATAAAGCTAATGCCAAAAACATTTGTATCTAAGACAGTGAGCAATTCTGAAGCTGTACAGTGGCCAGTCTTATCCTATAGCTTCACAATTCAGGCTAGCAGATGAGGGAAAACAAGGGTCATGTTAGGAGAAGGGGAATATTATGGGAGGCAGCAGGCTGCTGCTTCTGCCTGGGAGGGCAGGGCCGGGTCAGGCCAGGCCAGGTTGGGGCCACTTGCTGCTGCCACCACCAATGCCTGACCTGGAACTGAGCAGCAGAAGGTAAGTGGTGTAGGAGGGCAGGCAGGCACAGGGTGGAGCAGGTGGTGAGGGGACAGGGAGTGGGGAGGCACAGGCATGGGGGGCAGGGAGTAAGTGGCAGGGTGTCGGGCACTGTGGGGACAAGTGGCATAGAGGAGTAGGGAGTTGGGGGGCAGCATGGCAGGGGGCAAATGGCTGGTAACATGCTCGGGGGGCAGGCTGGGAGGGCAAAGGGGTCTAGCCCCATGCTCCCCACCACAGCAGTGAAAATTAAATTAAGATAACCTTCCACTGATTAGATTGTATACATAAGAAATTATGTTTAAAAATTTCCATATACAGAATTTAATTATTGGAGAGATTGTCTTATATTTACCTGAATCTAAGATGACTTTGAATATGGTACTTTTGCAGCACAGAGGTTGGGGGGTATTTTTAGATAATGTAATATGACTGGGAAATGCTTATCCAAGGCATTCCATTTTGTTTTTATGTTCCAGCGAGTCATCCTTGTGGCTTGGACTCCTACTAAGAAAAAAAAAAAAAGGCAGTGTTATACGCATATGGCCAAATAAGACCATTTTATGATGTCATTTACTACTCTGTCCCATTTTTCTCAGGCCAAATTGCTACCTTTTTTAGATAATGCATCTGGAACTTTTAAAAACCAATTTTATGAACCGATTGGAAATATCAGCCTTTTAGAGTGAGTGTGTGTGTGTTTCTCTAACAATATAACAAAATCTTTTTTCTTATTGGTCTTGCATACATAAGCCCGTTTTTTTTCATTTGCTGCACTGTATTTTCTGAGATACTGGAATATTCCTATGCGTGATACTTAGCTCAGTAATTAATGGGGATATAACATTACCTAACTGTAATGTGTCAAAACATGTCTTTATCTTCCATTTCATTTTCTGTGCTGTTACCATGGGGATAGATTTCTTTAAGTGAGTAGGAAATAGCTGAAATGATTTAAAAAGTCCACTCCCTTAATATTAATAGGTGTTTTGTTAAGAAGCGGAAATAAAGCAAAAGTTTTATAACCTGCGTAGCTTTATGAATTACCCATAGGTTAAGTTTCACCACAGTCAGTACAGGAGTTCAGGGACAATTTTATAATGATCTGGAGTACCACTGGGCCAGTTCTGGGTTCTTCATAGGCTGCAACTGGTCCCAGTGGCAGCAGTAGAGCAAGCAATGCCAGCACAGGGGTTAAGGCGGTCATTTCTTGTGCTCCTGTTGCTGACACGTGTCCCTCAGGGCTCCATTGCTGGGAGTTTGGTGGCAGGCCACACTTCTGCTTGCCCCTCCCCTGGATTCCTAGCTGCTCTGAGAGTCCCACAGGGTGGATGCAGCCTATGGCCTATATGCTTGACACCCCTGAAGTGGATTAAATAACTTATTTTTTTTAGTGTCAGTCTTCTAACCAGTGTTGGAACCAGTGTAACTTTTCATTTGTGCGTAAGGGCACAATTAAAACAGGATCCAGAAATGACACTGACAGAAATAGAGCCCCAGACGAGAATTTACCTGGGGGGGAAAGATGAGCAGAGCAGGTGGGAAGCCACGCTGAGCCGGAGGAGTGGCGGGCACGGAGCTGCAGCTGGGGAGAACACTGTGCCAGATGAAAAAAAAAGCAAAAGTAGCCAACCCAGGAGAAGCCAGGACTAGGTCCCGTGCTGGCGTGGGCACATTTTATGGCTGCGTGCTGGTGCCAATTCGCCAGCCCTTCAAAAGGGGAATAAAAACCCTGCTGGACAAGAGACAGTGGGAACTAGAAGTGGGTTCCCTGGCAGGCACCGTGCAGCCCAGACCACAACAAAGCCCCACTGAAGGAAAAGTGGCAGCCCCAGGAAGGGGCTTTTGGAGTTAGTTCAAGCCCAGAAGGGCTATATTACTCACCTGAAGCAGAGCCATGGACTCCTGACATCTCCTGACTGAATCGGACCCACCAGGAACCTGCAGAGAGAAGGAGACAGCTGTCCACGCCCCAACAACGGCAGATCGGTGAGAGAGGAACTGGTGCTGGGAGACAAAGTAACCTGGGGTCAGGAAAAGGCTAGGCCAGTCCCACTACAGCCTAAGCAGAGCGGGACGAACTGACACCCTTATACGTTTATACCGATTCAAAAGGCCAGGACACGTGTAATGGTACTGTAACCAAACCCAGAAGACTAGAACTTAATATCATTGGTTGGCGTTAGGTGGGGTGTAAGGGAGGAGGAGCCCCAAACGGGAAGACAGACAGGAAGCTCTTAAGAGGGGACCAGGAGGGACAGAACGTGCATCTTCCTCCCAACTAAATACATTTATTACAGCAAAGACATGGCAGGTGAGGACCCTCTAGAATCTGACTCAACAGCAGTGTGTCTTTTCCTCAAGCAACAGTGACATCTGAAAAACCCATACAGACCAGATGCATGCCAATTACAGATGCACACAAGCATTTTTCCCATACCATATCCCGTGTTTACAAGTTGACTGTAGTATTTTAATTAGTTCATAATAGGGATTAAAATTATAATATTTTGTAGTAGTAGTACTACAGGATGATTAGTTATGCCCCTGGGCACAGAGTTCTAAATGAGTACTGTATTTTCCAAAAGGAGAGAAGATTTATATTAACCAGTCTCCCAAAAGAAATTCCCAACCCTGTTCCTGTAACCACAGGTGTCACTTTAATTAATGTTGTGGTTCATGGAATCAGGACTTCCCTTTTGATCTTTGTCTATGAACAGTGCAATATAGAAAAACAAGATTTATCTGAGTGTACTTTGTGGTCACTTGTAGGTTTCTAGCATACTATCAAAATAAAGGCTTATATGAGCAGAAATGAGCAGTAAGCCTCAGTTTTGTGTAAACCATTTTAGTCTGCTGAAAGGAGGGAGGGGGCTGAGTTATAGATGGTGGGTACTGAGAAAGATGTAGCATTCAAATCTATCTGCTGCTTATGGAAATCTTGGTATAAATCAGGAGTGGCCAACCCAGTGGCCTGTGCCACTTTTAGTGTGCATGCAGCTTGTGTGTGTGGCACATGGCAGATACGTTAAGGAGCATAAAGCAGTGCAACAGATTGGGGAGGTTTATGGGAACTAGTGTGGCATGGGT